GAGATGCAGCATACCACGATATCCTGGCTTCGGCTGGGCTTGACATAACCCTTTTGCTGTCCTCCGCTCTTTGCATCAGTGGCTTATAGGTTCAGGTGAGGGCATGGGTGGAGCTATGGCAGCGTGTGTGTTGCCNCATGTGTGGAGCTATGACAGTGTATGTGTTGCTATTTTGTTTGAGTCACCAAGCTGCTGACACGATAACTGTTGGATATTGGGAGTGTAGACTTATCAAATTGGGAGATGCAGCATACCACGATATCCTGGCTTCGGCTGGGCTTGAAATAACCCTTTCGCTGTCCTCCGCTCTTTGCATCAGTGGCTTCCTAGGTTCGGACGAGGGCATGTGTGGAGCTATGGCCGTGTATGTGTTGCTATTTTGTTTGAGTAATCTAGCTGCTGACACGATGACTGTTGGATCTTGGGAGTGTACGATTATCAAATTGGGAGATGCAGCACACCACGATATCCTGGCTTCGGCTGGGCTTGAATTAGTCTAACCCCTTTGCTGTCCTCCGCTCTTTGAATCAGTGGCTTCCGAGGTTCGAGCGAGGGCATTTGTGTAGCTGAGATGTGTGTGTCTACGTGAAAGAATATGTAGAGAAAGTGGTATTGGCATTCGCATTCAGCGCATTGCGCATTTTTCGAATCTTGGCCCCCTCCCAGGGACCTTGATTTTTACTCCCTGGCACTGACGTCTTCTCATTGGTCAGCCGGATAGCACGTCGATGCTATTGAAAAAAACACAGCGATTGGCTGCTTTGTCACTCCCGTGGAAAAAGGACAAATGGAAAACAGGCAGGCACTGCACTGCACCTGTTCGGGCGTGAGCGGAGTAGGGTCTCCCATAAGGAAGAGCTGCGCGCGGTCTGAGAGCCCGGGGATGGACTCGAGCTTCGCCGTCACCGCCTCGAACACCTGGACAACAAAAAAACAGGACAATTTAGGGTTCCCACCTGTGCTTTTTTTGACCTGAAATTTTGACACGAGCGGTTTTTTTGACCCGAGAGGTTACGCCGCCTCTTTCGGGTCAAAATTTCCAGGTCAGATTTTTCTGGAAGACGTGTCAAAATTCGGGGCGAATTTTTTTTTGACACGAGGTGCCCCCGAAGCCCCCACAAAGCGATCAACTCCGCCTACCAGCTCGCAAAGCACTGCCGCACACCCACACACGTCTGCAAAAACAATCCCGGGAGCACATCGCACTCCTGCTGGTGCCAATCCGCGTCAGGGACGGTTGCGTTCATCGAGGGTTCGCACGAGCAAACATCCGCGTCAGGGACGGTTGCAGTTTGACAAGACCAAACATGGTCATCACGAGAAACAAGTCCTCCTCTCCGGCCAATGCGCAGAGCAGGGCCAGAGCCATGATCTGCATGCATTCATCATACCGCTCATAGCGGATTCTACCTCGTTCAAGGCGCGCCATTCCCTCGGTTCGTAGCGTTTACGGGGTGGAGGCTCCGAGGCTCAGCCGTTAGGTTTTCGGTCTTGCGCTGAGTGTTTTTTTAAAATCGAGATTTCGCCGCTGCTGAGCTCCGAAAGGTAACAAGCGGCGAAATAAGTTCGTGCCAAAATATCAACCGTCACTTTTTTTTGACCCGAGCTGCCTTGTGTCAAAATTCTCGGGTCAAAAAAAGGTGGGAACCCTAAAATAGAGAAATAAAAAACGAACCAACGAAAAAAAAACGAAATCAAAAGTCCAATACGTCCAATACAAAGGGGCTTGGAGTAAACGATTAACGCGGGGAAAAAAAGTCGGAATCGTGGCCTCTCGGCTCGGTCTGGGCATTGCTGGGCGTTGTTGTTTAGTTTTTGTCTTGTTTCGGGTAGAGTCTAAGACCCCTACCGCCGTGCAACAAAAAAAGAGAAAAAGTGGCTGTTGTTATCAATCGAATAAAAAAAATCAAGACAGCCACATACACGGATAACTGACTTGTTTGGAGGATGACTCGAAGGGACAAGAGTCCGTGATGTGCTGTGCCGTTGGACAGACGGCCATTGCTCCAGCTTTCGCAATAACACGAGAGATTTTTCAGAACGCTTCGGCGCCTGCCCCGAACGCTTCCAAGAATTCTTGGTGAAACGATTTCCAACGTCTATTCTGGGCACCATCCTTTTTTCCCCCTGCCGAACAATGCTTTTTTTTTCCTGCTCGATATGTACATATACTTCGGCCAGCGCTCAAGCTGGGTGCCCACGAGGCCCTGATACAACCATCGATACAACCAGGACAGCATGGCAGTGAGGGTCATCTGCACTGTTGTAGCTCGGTGGTGACCATTACCCCGCTTTGTCAGTGCCATCTCAAAGTACTGACGGTATGCATTTTATCGGAGCCTATTGGGAGGTTCCGGTTGAGCGCAGGTCGAAGCGTCGCCCTGCGCAGGAGCCAAGTAGTGCTGCTGCTTCATTGTTTCATTCTGCTCGGACTCCTCGTGTTATCCTAATCAACTCTATCCGGTCTTTTCATTCTATTTTACCCGATATCCTCATGCTTTTCTGCCCACGAAATACCTCCGTGCGTTCATTTTCGTTCAATTCTGTTCGAACTCCATTGTGCGCGTTTTCATTTCATTCTGCTCAATACTTTTTTTTGCCCCATCACTAACTCTGTGTGGTCTTTTCAGTTCATTGTGCTCGAATTCCTCCTGTTTTCTACCCTTTTTTTTTCTGTGTGGTAATTTTCTTCCCCTTCTCTATCTCACGGCGCTTCGTGCTTGGGGATGTGAGAGCCTGGTCCGGTGAGAACCCGGCGTGCTCGGTCCCGTCTTTGTAGGGATGCGAGGTCAATGGTCTAGCGACTTCGGCATGCACGACTATGAGTATCCCCCCCCACCCCCCCCACTCCCCCCCCCGGTGTTTGCCATTGGGGTTGGGTTTTCGTCGCTTGGCAACGACGTTGTAAAACAAGCCAATTCACTTCGTGAACTCGGCAACCAGGTTACCGTTCTTTTTTTTTTCCTCCGTTTATTTTTTTTGGGCGGTAACCATAATGATGGTTGAGTAGATCATGTTGTGCGGGGTGAACCCTCACTCCGCGCAAGGGGGATGATCGCACCACGTTGTGTTAAAATGGTCAAGCACCCTCGAGGCAGTTACACAGTGCTTACAACTGTCTCTGGAAGTGAAAGCACCAGAAAATAAATTAATTCATACGCAGCTGTCATCCGTACGCAAGGAAGTAAGCACAAGATGCCGAACACCCTTAGCAGGATGCAGCGCACCCTTCATGCGACTCGCCGAATATCTCACGGCGCTTCGCGCTTGGTGATGTGAGAGCCTGGTCCGGTGAGAACCCGGCGTGCTCCGTCCCGGCTTTGTAGGGATGCGAGGTCAATGGTCTAGCGACTTCGGCATGCACGACTATGAGTATCCCCCCCCCCCCCCCCCACTCCCCCCCCCGGTGTTTGCCATTGGGGTTGGGTTTTCGTCGCTTGGCAACGACGTTGTAAAAAAAGCCCCCTCCTCGATGTTTGCCATCGGGATTGGGTTGTCGTCGCTTGGCAACGACGTTATATAACAAGCCAATTCACTTCGTGAACTCGGCAACCAGGTTACCGTGTTTTTTCACATCTACCGTTTATTTTTTTTTGGCGGTAACCATAATGATGGTTGAGTAGATCATGTTGTGCGGGGTGGAGAACACTCGCTCCGCGCAAGGGGGATGATCGCACCACGTTGTGTTAAAATGGTCAAGCACCCTCGAGGCAGTTACACAGTGCTTACAACTGTCTCTGGAAGTGAAGCACCAGAAATTCAAATTAAGTCATTCGCAGCTGTCATCCGTATGCAAGGAAGTAGACTAAGCACGAGATCCCGAACACCCTTAGCAGGATGCAGCGATCA